GTGAAATCCAATGGAAGCGTCAGCTCTACTCATATCATTGTGGGAAAATTCTACTACCAGTCCTTCATCACCTTTAACGAAATAGAATGAACACCTCTCATATTACTGATATACTGGTAGTCTCAAAACTCTACTAAAATACGAAAATAAGTAAAAAGAGATTGTTAGCTGATATTTCTCACAATTATATGAATAGGCCTCACGGTTCCATTGAATTTCACTTTTTCCCCCATACCACAATTCCTACTCAAGTTCTACTGCAAGTCTCAAAATCCCACATATAAACAAAAGTAAGTAATATAGTCGAGTTTCATAGTATATGCGACTTTGACTAAGTAAAAATCCACCCACGTAACATAAAGTCTCCTCTGCTAACTAAGGGCACTCGTGACAGTGTCGCAGTTATAATCGTTATCGCAACAACCTTGGTCCAAGTCCCGTTGGAGTTGCTGATGAAACCTGGGCGGGTCAAAACTGTAGTCTACTTTTGACGAAAATACCGTTTTGGGAAGCAAGGACTCGTGAAATTCAATGTAAACTTTTGACCTACTCCTATTAATGTGGGAAAATTCGACTACCACTTCTTCGTCACCTTAAACGAAATAGGGTAAACACAGTTCTTATTCAAGATCTACTAAGGGTCTCGAAAGCCTACTTAGCTATGAGAATTCAACTGAGACCAAACTTAAGGCCACGCCAAATTGGTCTCCTTATCTATAACGAAGATGTAACTGCAAGGAGCTGGCATTTTCAATAAATCTGTAAAAATCACTCTGGTTCATGCTCGCGCTGTTGAAAGCACTTCGTTGTGCCAAGAACGCCTTTAGATGGTTAACCCGACGAGTTGTTATGCCATCTAGAGGCACTGAATTGCCTTGTTTTATCGTGATGCTTTAAGGAAGCGTTTTTCTTAGAGAATGCTTTCCATAGATGTCCCTTATATTTCAGAGCAAGCCAACATCAAAAAATCGCAAATTAAAACTTAGCTAATCAACGTCTCACTTTTTTCTGTTTTTGAATCACCTCTTTCATAACCTTCAAGGCATAGGATGGACTTCAGTAATGCTTAATTTTATTGTTGGCCTCTACTACAACGCGTTTATCGCCTGGGCCGTCTTCTACGTGGCCAATTCATTTACCGACCAGCTGCCCTGGAATTCTTGCGGCCAATTTTGGAATACAGCCAACTGCATAGCCATTGGAAATCAGTCTTCGGTAAACCAAACCTCAGGAGCGAATGGATCTGCTTCTTCTCCTGCAGCCGAGTTCTTTGAGTACGTGCTTCCTGCATTTGTCCATTCATCATTCTCTATCGCTGCTTGGGTTAAGCTTCAGCGTGAGAAAGGTAGGTCTATCCTCTCGAGGGTCGGTTGGCGCGAAGAAACATTTAGTTTTGTAACACGAGAGATACGACCTTGTGCACAAACCTTAGCTTCTTCTCTTCTCATACCATTTTTATGAGCCAGTCAGGGCCAGCTTAAGTGATGACTTCATACAGCGTCCTGTGTTAGTGTTCTCTGTAATGGAACCGTTAAAGGAGTGCATTTCTGGACGTTCTGTTGGCCTCTACGTCGGAATCGTTAGTAAGCAGCGTCAACATCATCCCCGAGCAGCAGTTTGTCAAATAGCCAAATAAAGTCACTATCACGAACCTCTTTTCCCCCTTTTGGATCGGTATATTTCCTATCTACTTTTTTTAAATATTCGTATCACTCACTGTCATTCAATATGCCTATCCTTTCACAATTTGTGTCCCATTCAACTACGTGTCCAGTTAGATTTGTCGTAAAGGGGCAAACATTTGGACGAGAGGAATGTAAACAAGTCAGAAGTTGGGTTAGGGTGGCAGCTCGATGAGGGGCTTAGGCGTATATATTCATGGACTAGGAAAAAAAGAGGTGTGATATTGAAATCGTTTTTGCAGAACGCTGGTCAAAGGATTGACTTCACTTGTCCCTTTTGACGAGTTCGTAACTTTGTTTGGAGAATGACAAGACTCACTGGCGAGTACGATGTCGGCTAAACATCTGGGAATGTACCAAGTCCACAGGTGGATTCTGGGAATTATGAGGACTTCGGAAAATGTGCGTTCAACTAAGTCGCCCTGATAACAAGACACTGTTGAGACAACGAGGTCAACCCACTTCTATAAATCGAAAGGAGACTGCGACCATACCGAGGGCCACACTATCTTGGTCTTCATACCTTCGTTTTAGTACTTACTTCATTTATTGTGAGTTAACTTTTTAAACAATAATTACTGATTGTCTAAAATACTACTCTCATTACTATTTTAGATTAATAAATTTTTTTATATTCGTGATCATGGTTAAATCATTTCTGAAAAGAAAAAAGCTAGGCACGAATTGATCTTTCCTTACTTCTAATGATCAGTTCGATTAGCGTCCATTATTACTGACCAAGAATTCTTATTTGGCCCCAATTCTAGCCTGCAACTGCTTTACTCAATCCGACGTTTGCTTGCCTCAGAGGCATGATGAGGCAACAGAGGATGCCTCGAAGACTATGTCGACCTGAACGTCGAATTAAAACCTAATGGCTGCAGACAACGGAACTTGGCCATTGTCTTCCGATTTAATCAGCCAAATAATATCTTTATCATGCCTTTTCACACGTAATGAAATTCACAACAATACTGTTGTCTCAAGATAATCATCGAAATCCAGCTACTCTTGACCTCTACACAAATAAGGTCTTCGCTACCAGCATGTTATAGCATTGATTAAATTTATGTTAGTTGACGACACAGTAAGAGGGTTTAGGTAAATATTTTGGTGTAATGGATATAATTGATAAACTGTGGAGTTAAATCAAGAGATTTACATATAAATGAACCCATTCGGTTGGGAAGGGGAGCCCATTAAATTACTGTAGGGGATTCCCGTAGCTCTGCAGTCATTTAATAGTATAACTCATTTTGATGAAGGAATAGAGACATTCTATCTTGACAACAAAAATCCTTTTAGCTTTATTCGTGAGTGAGTAGGTTTTCGAGACTACAACTTCTATATCCCTTTAGCTTATTTTAAAATCCTATTTAATTAATAAGCTCATTTGGGGTCCATTTTCTTTATTTAATACAGGCGAACTAGTATGGAAAGAGGAGCTAAATACATTTTAAAGAGACCTTGAAGGTGATTTAGGTTATGCTTAATTTTTGAGAAAACTTTAGCCAAGTATTCGCGTCTGACAGCTATAAGATTGTGCGCTCATGTATGATTTACCGCCTCATTAGTCGAAGGCAAGCTGAACCCCCAAAAACAACAAAAACAGTAAATTATATAGAATGGTCCAGAACACGTCGGCTTGCAGATTTTGCCAAAACTGCAATTAATAGATTAGAGAATACTTTTCATGAAGAGAATGGAGGTTAAAGGATAGACAAAGACTGCATATGCTCTATTGATAAGCAATTGAACTAAAGACTCAAATAGTCAACTAATTAATGTTTCTGAAATTATTCATATTCATCTTCAACTTAACGAGAAATATGGCTGGATTTATGCAATACCATTCATTCCTTTCTTTATGACACTACAG